CGTCAGGGCCCGGCCGCCCCAGGGGCAACGCGAGCGCGTAAGGCCCGCTCCCCAGGTGCCAACCCTCGGGGCTCTGGAGAACCGCGCGACACGGACTGGGACTGTGGGCCTGGAACTCTGCCCCAGCCCCGGCAGCCCGCGGGAACGGGATTTGCCCCACACGGCCCCAGGGGCGCGGCCCCGCCTCCCTCCCCAGGTCCAGCAGCGAGGGGCGTGGCCTCCCATCTAAGGGGCGTGGTCGAGAGGAAACTACAATTCCCAGTAGGTCTTGCGTTGGGGCCGTGGAGGCTGCTGGGAGAGCGGGTCTCCTCCTCTCTTTCCCAATTGTGCGGCTGCTGTCATTGACCCGACGTCGCTGCAAAACCGAAGTCGCCAAGTGATGATGTTGTGAAGTCTCTCGCCCGTCCCTGCCACGCCCGGGCAATTACTGGCAGCGGCGGCCGCTTCGGCTGCTGCTCTCAGGCTGCCGCCGCTTTAGTCTTCTTCCTGAGAGAGCGCCGGCGGAGGACGGAGGTAGCAGGGCCATCCTGTGAGTAATCTTCCCGCGCACGACCCGAACTTGCCCTTGCCATCTTCCCTTGAAGGCAGAGGAGACTGTCCGCGCCGCGCTCCTCCGGGTCCTCGGAGGACACGCGCGGACACCGGAGCCGGAGCCGGGTACGGGAGGGCTGGATCCTTTCCGGGTCCCCACCCTGAGGTGGGAAGCCGGTTGTTTCCCAAGTGTAAGTGAGAAGTGATGGGCGTTGGGCTCTGGCCTCTGGGTTCACCCCCAGCTGTACCCCTGAGGATTGGCAGCATCCTTTCCTCTGCCGGACAGCATCCACCTGCTGTCCCAGCCCTGAGCGATGAGTGACTTTAGTGTCTGGACGTTAAACCTTAAGCTTCGGTCACCCTCTGTGATGTGAACGAGAGGAGAGGGTATTGGAAACAGTTCTTTCTATGTTGAGTTGGGCTTTTCCTGCGATTGATTTTGAACCAGACACGGCTGACGTTAGTTTCAAGAGTAAGTAATGGATATTGGCAGATGTCCCTTTAATACCAGCATAAAAATGATCTCTCAAACACTTAAAAGATTTATGGGTCATTATAATAGTGGTGAACTCAGTTACTTGCCCACGAGCCTTTTATTTAAACCTGCAGTTTCTGCGCTGGAAACTAACTTTCCACTGGGAATTCATCAAGCTAGAATGGACTATAGGAATAAAGTGAAATGGACGATTTCTTTTTAAAAAAATCTATTTCAGTAATTTTTTTTTCCGACCTTCAAATCTTTGCTGTAGAATTAGAAATCTGAGCTACAGTGATCTCCAAATAGCATGTTAATGGTGGTGATGTGACACTTCAGGAGAAATTGTGAAGGACATTTGGTGGTGAGAAAGCACAGGGGTGAAAACACTAGATCATCTCAGCAGTTATTCCAGCTTTCTGCTTTTAAAATTAAGTAATGTTCAACAAGTCTCAGACATTCAGAAAACACATACTATAGGAAAGACCATGATTTATTATTTTACAGATTCTTATTCATATGATGATAGGGGTTAGAAAGACTGATATTTGAGTCCTTTCAATCAGCCAGGCATCTCAGCTGTGAACTCCACATACATTCCATCAGTTGTTCACTATAATAACCCTGTTGCGTAATCTGAGGCTCAAAAACTTTGCTTATGTAACAAGTGGAGATTCATACCTAGATCTAGCTTATTTCAAAGTTACAAGTCGCATAACTTGTACCTAGTTCAGAAATGACTGACCTTAAAGGTTGGATGATCAAAAAGCATTTTCTAGCATTATTTCCTGATATGGGATCCCACTACATACCTTGGACTTCTAGAATAAGTTCTGAACCCCTGCTTTAGTACCTTTTTTTGAACCAGTTCTCTCTGGTTGCAGTTCTCATCCTCCACAGAGCTGCTCATTAAGACCCTAAAAGCCCATTACAAATCCACTTGTTTACTTCTGTAAGCCATTATAGGATCAGCCTTTCATCTCAAAGGACTTTCCAGTTCAAAAGGTTAGTAGTTCAGTAATTGAAAATATGAGCCAAGAAGTGTTATTCCGTACTGGAAATGGTTAACATCCATAGTCACAAAGAGTAGAAAAACTTGTTTCTTAAGATTTTTACTTCAATACACAAAATATGTTAAACACCAATATAAGGAATGAGACAGATGATAATAAGTAATTTCATGTTCATTTTGATCTTTGTTTATATCATCTACCAGTTTTTGAACCTCTTTAGTTACAAGCCTATTAAGTTGGTAAGAAATCTGAGGCATTAAGGTAATATTCACATTTAAAATAACTTAGTAATTGAAGGAACTAAAGTACTCATGATTTCCAGTCATATTTGTTTGAATCTGCAGTGATCATATAATAGGAAACATTTTGTAATACTTACTATGTATTAGATCCCTGTCTAAAGGTTTTACCTATATGAACTTATCCTCGCAGTAGCATTATGAGGTATTTTTAGAGATAAGCAACTGAAGCAGAGGTTAAGTTAACATAGCCAAGGTGATTCAGCTACTAAGTGGTGGAACTGTGTGTCAAACCCAGGCAGTCTTAGAATCTTCACTCTAATATTTATTGAGCACCTACTGTGTACCAACCCTACAACTGGATGCTTTTATTATTATTAAGTCATTTATGTTTATAACTACATTATGTAGAATAGAAAGTCAGCACTTAGTGACTTGCCCAAAGTCACAGGATATGTCAATGGTGGAGCCAGGATCTGAACTCATGCTTGCCTTTCTTCAAAGTCCACATTCTTTCTTCTACTTTCTGTAAATAATCAAATCTTTAGTAAATACCTTCAATGGGACAGATGCTGTGCTGAGTACTAGAGATTTAGTCTCTGCTCTTAAGGAATACAGTCTAAAAAAGGAAAGAGACAATTGGGATAGTGTGTTAATATGATTGCAGCGTACAGAAGTACTATGGGAACAGAGACAGGGCAGTGCCATCTGCCTGGGATGGGAAGGCTAGGGCCGGTCTTGGAAAAACAAACAGGAATTAGCTTGGCCAAAGAAAAGGGGAAGGGATTGTTGTGGGCTGAACTGTGTTTCTCCAAAATTTGTAAATTGAAGCCCTAACCCCTCTTACCTCAGAATGTGACTATATTTGGAGACAGGGCCTGTAAAGAGGTAATTAAGTTAAAACGAGGCTTTAGGATATGTTATAATCCATCCTAACTGGTATTCTTATAAGAAGAGGAACTTTGGACACAAAGAGAGACACCAGGGATGTGTGCCCAGAGGTTAAAAAAAAACATGTAAGGACACATTGAGAAGGCAGCCATCTGCAAGCCTCAGGAGAAACCAAACTTGCTGACACTTTGATCTTGGACTTTCAGCCTCCAGAACTATGAGAAAATAAATTTCTTGTTGTTTAAGCTACCCAGTCTGTGGTATTTTGTTTTGGTGGCCCTAGTAAACTAGTAGAGAAATGTTCTAGCAAAAGGAATGACATACAAAAACCTTTGAGGTGTGGCTGGGTAATTAGGTTTCATGATAAGAAGTGTTGAGAAGGGAGAAGATATAGCTCAGTGGTAGAGTACGCGTTTACATGCACGAGGTCTTGGGTTCAATCCCCAGGAACTTTATTAAATAAATACATTAAATTTTTTTTTTAGAAAGAAAGAAATGTTGAGAGATGAAGCTGGAGACTAGACTGGGGCCATATTAGGATGATTTTTGTATGAGATGCAAAGGATTTTAAACTTTATTCTAAGGGGGATGGAATGGATAGGATTTGTAGCAGTGGGAAAACATTAAGTCTGCATTTTAGAAAGATACTCTGTGAGCCGTGGGAGGATGGATTAAAACAGGTAAGACTGGAGGCAAGGAGATCCGTTAGGTGTCTTGTTGCCACAGGAAGCCGAACTAAATATTTTCTCAGAATATTGAAATGTCAAACTAAAATGAACCATTGTTAACACAAGGAAGATTTTAAAGGGCACAGCTAACCCTTAGGGCATACATAAGAAGTTTTAAAAAGAACTTGTATATACCTGTTTTGTACCTAGAGATTGGTTTTGCTTTTGACATTTTGCTTTCCATAAATAAATATTTACTCAGATATTACAACATATTCACTATTTTTTCACTGCATTTAATAGGCACTTTTATGGTGCTTATGCTATTCTAAGCCATTTTGTCTGACAACCTTATGAAATGTCTACTTTTATTATCTCCGTTTTATACATAAAGATATTAAAACACAGAGAGATTAAGTAACTTGCCCATGGACACATAGCAAATAAATGGCAATATTAAAATTCAGACCCAAGCAGTCTGTCTTCAGAGTCTATACTCTTAGCCATTATACTATACTGTCGCCATATATTATTTATCAACATCTTCAACTCCCTATGAAAGGAGGAGGAAGGAAAACAAAAGTAAATTGGGTATGTTTGCCATAGGGAGTATGCAGTTTATCAGAGGAGATAAAGAACAATTATAAGGTTTAAAAAAAGTGTTTTAGAGAAAAATGAACAGTGTTGAGAGTCAATGTTTACTTTGAGTTGAGGCTTCTGGGAAAGCTTGGTGGGAAAAGAGGCATTAAACTGGGGTGTGAGGAATGTCTAGTCTGGACTTTGGATATGTAGAAGGGGGAGAGGGCATTAAAGGTAGAAGACATCTCATGAACAGATTTATAAGATTAGGAATCTCCTGGTGTGTCTAGGGAACTAGTAAATACAATCCTTTGTTTCAGCTGGACTGTATTGTATGTTTGGGGAAGCCAGTTTGGGAGCGGTGGGGTGGACGACAGCTAATGTCTGGGAAAGAGGGAGTGAGGGGCAAGGAAAATTGTGAGGTTTTTAAGCCAAATGACTGAGGTGTATACTAGAAGTAATTATCTTTTCGGAGAGGATAAATCAAGTTCATCTAGTCCCAATTTAACAAGTCCTATTTCACTGTCTCACAAATCTCACCCATCCCTCCTACTGTTTCCATTTATCTAGTTTATGCCTTTATTACAGTAATCCAAGCATAATGTGATAAAATTTCTTAATTATTTTTCTGTCTCTAATCTCTCCATTCCTGAAATTTATCCTGTATTCTGACTCTAGATTTATTTTGCAAATATCACTTTCCACTTAGAAACTGGTTCCCTGTGGAATCAAGTGCACAGTTCTTAATCTGAACTAGTCCAATGTAAAGCTCCAAGTACCTTCCCCATAATCAACTCCGATTTAAGTTGCTCTGTACACTGCTGCCAAACTGGCTCTGTCTGCTGTTTGCTTTGGAGCCTCTTTTTCCTTCTTTGTCCTTAACTACCAGACACCTCCATTCTCACCATTGAAATCTTTCCATCCTTGAGGAACCCTATGTTCCTTGAGGGACCCTGTATTAAATCTTACTGAAGGCAGGCCACTTCAGTTAGAAAAGAAATCCCCCCTCACTGACTACAGAACAGTTCTGTTCTAATACTCATTAAATCCTTATTTTTTATCTGGTAGTGTTATATCCTTAGACTTCTTAGATCATTAAATCTTAGATCTCATCTAGTTCATGGGGCTCATTA